ACTCTTGCCTCTTCCTTTCCTGTCTAATGTAGATTGGAAGCTGTTTGGGACTAAGACTTCTCTTCATAATCACAGCACCATGTGATCAAACAACCATTCTCCCATAGCCCACTCTATTGCCAAGCTCACATACCACAGTCTTTATAATAAGCCAGCAAAAGTTGTTGGCCTTCAAATTTTATTCATATTTTAACCAGACGCAGTCACTGACCAGAAAAAAAATGAGCATTTAACAAAGATATCTTACATTAGTCAGTTCACTGGTCCATTTACCCAGGATTGTTGATGCGGATAGTGACTGGAGTCCTTGATGAGAAAGGTGGGGTAAAAATATGACTCTCTGGGGTTGCCCATTATTTTCCAGACCCTGCTACACAAAATTTTTTAACCAGAATCACTGGGAACTGAACCCTGAACTTTCTCTTTACAAAGCATGTGCTTTACCTGTGAACCACAAACTTACCCCTTAAAACAGGACTCAGAACCCTGTGGCAGTACTCTGGCAGGTGAGGGCGAAAATTAAAGGGCCCATGAGCTACATAAGTCCCTGCCAGTCTTCGTAGTCCCTGGACTCACACCACCATCCTCAGTGTTCTTGCAAGCAAAAAAGTCCAAGCAAAGATGAAAAATTGCCTCCTCTTAAACACTAAGCACATGGTTCCCATCACCCCAAAGTTTTTTTTTCAAGCAGTGCTCCTTGGGAGGTTACGGGAACTAAAAACTGGTCCTTGGACTTATCTACTCCTGCTCCATGTGTTGCTGGACTGCAATTTGCAGCAGCTCTAGCCTGTATTGCTGATGAAGAAGGCTGACCGGAGTTGCAGTCCAGCCTGATGTTCCCTAGTCCTGTCTTAAAGCTTCCTTGCATGGTGGTAATTTTTACTTAGCAGGTGAGTAGTTGTTTGCCCCAGTGCCTGCATACACATGCACATGCACATGCACATCCACATCCACATGCACACATACACAATCCCAAAAGGCCCACTGGAGATTTGTTACAATACATCCTTGAAAGGAAAATATTGTGCATGCAATTTACCCCAGATCTGCCCGCCTTACAAATGTTAAGTCCCTTACTTCAAATTCTGCTTTTAAGTTTTGGGGTAAAGAACATGTGAATTCTATGGAAGAATTTTCTGAAACATGAGTGCTATCTCCCATCCCCCAAAAGTTAGTGCAGATACATATAAAACTGCATATACACCCTTCTAGATCACAACTGTCCCTCATGCTGTTTAACATCTACATGGAAGTGCTGGCAGAGATCATCAGGAGGTTTGGGCTGAGGAGTCAGCAATATGCTGACGACACTCAGCTCTACTTCTCGTTTTCCTCCAATCCAGGTGAGGCGGTTTCTGTGCTGAACTCGTGTCTGGCCCTGATAAGGGACTGGATGAGGGTTAATAAATTGAAACTCAATTCAGACAAGACAGAAGTGCTGTTAGTGGGTGCTTCTCCGGACAGGCTGGAGGGCCACTTTCCTGCCCTTTCCTACACTCCCCCTAAGGGACAGGGTCCGCAGCCTGGGGGTGCTCCTGGACCCCAGTCTAACTCTGGAAGCCCAGGCGGACTCGGTGGCCAGAGGTGCCTTCCTTCAGCTGTGGAAATTATACCAGCTGCAGCCCTACCTGGACAAGCGGAGTCTCATGACAGTTATACATGCACTGGTAACTTCTCGTATAGATTATTGCAATGCGCTCTACATGGGGCTGCCTTTGAAGACAGTCCAGCGACTGCAACTGGTCCAGAATTGAGCTGCGTGGCTGGTGAGGGGTGGGGCTGCTAGGGGACATATCAAGCCGATTCTGATTAAATTACATTGGCTACCAGTTGCTGCCCGGGCCCAATTCAAATTGCCTATTTTGACGTATAAAGCCTAAATGGCTTGGGCCATGAATACCTGAAGGACAGCCTCCTTCCATATGAGTCTACCCAGCAGTTAAGATTTAGCCAGGGGCGCCTTTTGAAAGAGCCGTCCCTTAAGGAGGTAAGAGGGATGGCTTGTATACAAAGGGCCTTTTCAGCAGCTGCCCCCAGACTATGGAACGCCCTCCCGACTGAGATTCGTCTGGCGCTGATGCTGATGACATTTCGGCACCAGGTCAAAACCTTCCTGTTCCAGAAGGCTTTTAATTGAAATAATATCAACTGTGGGTCCTGATGGCAATTTTTAGATTATCTATTTTTATTGCATTTTAATTGCTGTAAGCCACCCAGAGATGGTGTACTCCAGTGAAAACTATTTCCTGATGATCACACAATGTACAGGGACTAGTGCTTCAGCTTGATCCTGCTCCATGCCCAAACTGGACCTTTTTGATCCAGCAGTAGGGCTACTAATTTTTGGTGCCACCCTGGAGCAATTCCCCAACATGTGGAAGAGTTGCTTTAAAGGAGACCACCCCTGGCAAAGCAACCTTTTCCAATGTGGTCTGATGCGTACCTTTCCTACTACCTAATCACACTTTAAGTCTTCTCATTGAATCTCACATCTGCCATGAGCCTATTGGACAATCTTAAGCACAGGACTCGTCATGAGAAGCAACAGGATGAAATAGCCTGCTTCACACAGCATGGAGGATGGGCAAGTTAATGAAAGCAGAATGGTAGAACAAGATGGTTTTAAGAGTTGACCTATCTGAGGGGCACAACTGGGAGCCACTTAAGGCTGTAAAATGTCTGGACCAGTCCAGGTTAACTCCAGTCTCTCTCAGCCTCTGTCTGTAGCTTGAGGATATTAATGCCAGTCTACTTAACAGGGCTAAGGCAAGGAATAACAAAGCTAGTGATGTCTGAAGCTGACATCATCTCTCACCAGGGCCCTTCCAGGTACAGTCAAACAGTAACAGGAAGACCCTCAATTTGGTCACATCAGTATATATAAAATGCTCTGAACCTTTACAAGTATATGAATATATGTTAATTATTGTGGGGTTTTTTTATGAAGGCCTCAGATGCTAGCCTCTGTGCAATGCCTGAACATGACAACAAGGGCAAAAACCTAGTTCTTTTCTTTGAAATCTGTTCATTCCGTTCCCTATCAAAAAAAGACACGGAGGTCGGACAAAAAGATTTGCTGTCCCTTCACTTCTACTCCCTGCACCAGCCATGCAGTAGTCTACATAACAAAAGTCTGAGATGGAAAAATGACATTGATTAAACTTCTTCCACCATGCATTACCACCATGCCAGTAAGAGCTGCCTCTGTTTAATTTCTCTACATCAGAGTGCTGCTAAAGGCACAAGAATTAATTCAGGAAAGAAAAGTGTCACCCTAGAGCAGAAGTGGGGCGTGTGTGGCCCTCCAGAAGTTGACAGATATCAGATCCCACCAGCATTACAACCAAAGAAGAAGGATGATGGGAGGTGCAGTCCAGTTACATCCAGATTTGTTCCCCATCTCTACAAATACGGAATTTAACATGAGGTGGCATACAGGACATCATGCTGCAATATCTCAACTTGATCCTATGTCTTTAATAGTAACTGGACTGAAACGTAACAAGTCAACTTCCATAATTTTCTTTGAAAGACTTCAGCTGCTTATTTATTGTTTTTCTGCTTGCTGTTAAAGGCATAGAAGCAGAGCTAGTGAGCAGGTTCACACACATAGGCATGTGCAGTGCTTGATGACACACAGTTTCCAGTGACATGCCAGGAAAACATGTGAAGTGACTTGGCTTAAGAAGAGTCTATCTGATGGGAGAGGTGGGGACAGAAAGATTCTATCTGCTGCAAGTCATTCCCCCACAGAAGATAGCACTTGGTGCTGCAGTTATGAGGAGAGGAACATCCTTGTGTGAATGACCAAGAAAAAGAGATAGCAAACCTAGAGTTCACCATGTGACAGGCACAGAAATTAGCAATGATGGGCTGTAGCTGCTAAAAAGGAACAGGTTTCCTTATTGTATTTCCTTTCTTTTTGCCCATCACCCATAGATCTTGATGTCTAGGACAAGGGGCATAGCTCAGGTAAATCCAGTGGTATAGTGGGGCCAGGGCTTGTTGGGTTGAACCCATGGAACTTCCTGAGTAATATGGACCATGACATCATCTGCCATCCTCCTCGGGCTTCCCTGCTCCCTCTGGGCTTAACTGCAATCCTCACAATAGTTGAGAGAAAAGTGGATTTTCAAAGGAATGTGAAAATAATCATATGTAAAAAGCAATCCCTGTTGAAATACAAAGTATCTGTAGTGTTTTGTTCTTGAATGGAAATTAAGAGCCATTACATTTTTTAAAAAAAACCTTCCTCATTTATAGACATGGACTAATGTAGCTGTCTGCATTTTTAGACTTCTTATGAGGGGACTAGTTTTGGGGACTGATATGATGAGCATCCACATTTCCAAATTTACTACAAAACCGTTGTTTGGGACAGCACAAGTTTGATCCTCAGACTTCCTTCTTACTGGATCTCCTGTTGGAAGGCTGGAAATTGTGACCCAGTTAGCATAGTTGAGGGATGATGACTGTTGTAATCTCACAAAATCAGGCCACATTTTTGCCACCCTTCCTCTACAGGAACCTTGAGGTAACTGCTATCAGCATAGATGACACGGTGCTAAATGGACCAACGGGTTGACTTATTAGAAGGCATCTACGTTGACGTGAACCATGATCATCCAAAAGTCCTGTACTATTTCATCACTATTTTGCTACTAGGAACCATCCATTAGTCACAGATGTTTTCTCCTAGTAAACCAGAATCTTCTTTGTCCTGTTCCTTGCTTCTATAAAAGCCAATCACTGTAGCAACTGGGAAACAAATATGTAACAGGCCTTAGGCCCTTGGTATGCACAACTAAGATATCACTCCAAACAAATTTGCGCCACAAGGAGAGCAATCAAAATGCACTTCAGTTCAAGATACCAAACAAATCCAGCCAAGTCTCCCACACAAAGACCTTCTTGTCACATCTTGGGTGACTCCTCCTGGTCCCCACCATCATTACTGAGACAACAAGAAAGGAAACCAAGCTGTTGTTCATGATACTCACAGTGGTGAAGTTCTTGTGGCTGCACTCCTGTCCTCGGTACTTGCAGTACAACAACATCTCCTTCATGTCATGGCCCACACGCCCCAGGAACTCACTCATACTAAACACTTTGGCCCGGTGGTGCTGAAAGTTAGTCTTTTCTCGAAGGGTGGCCAGGACTGCCGGGTCGGCGAGGTGAGGGTGAAGGATCTGCAGGTTGACATCCAGCAAGGCCAAAAGATCACCAGCATGGTACAAGTCGTTCGTGGTGAGGCGGGAGAAGCGGAACCCATTAAGGTTGCAGATGGTGACAGCTGGGAAGACCAAGTTGTTGGCAACGACCTCGTCCACCTTGGTGACGTGCTGGTAGGAGAAGTAGTAGATCACCCGCTCAGAGCTCTCCACCAAGAGAATGCCCAGGGAAGCTATGAATGCTAGAGCCCACAGGGCCCGGCGGATAGTCATAGGTCCATAGACAAAGATGTGTCGGATTCCATGTAGGGTTGAGGTGTTGGCAAAAATCTGGAGGCTGGTGGGCTGGAGGCTCCCCAGACTTCCCTCGCTGGTACTTTCCTTCAAATCCATGGAGAAAGAATTGGACACAAATGAGTCACTTTCCTCCTCTGCCGACAGCCAGCTTTTTGTGTGCTCCAGTCCTCACTCATGGGGTGAAAGAGGAAACAGAGGCAGCTAGCAGGAAAGGCAAGCTGTGTCTCTCTCTCTCTCTCTGTGTGTGTGTGTGTGTGTGTTATCTGTATCTGTATGTCTCTTTGGGTGCCAGTGAGTCAGGTGCCTCCTGTGTGCTCCTCGGCAGCTTGGCAAAAGACAGCAGGGGGTGTAAAATGTTTATTTAAAATCCATTGCAACTCTACCGCTTGATTTCCTTGCTGCGATAAGGAGGGCTGGTTTTATTTAGGGAGACACCAAGGTGATGTGGAATAGATGTGGGTGGGAAGGCGAGGATCAGCCAATGGAAAGAAAGCCCTCCCCCTTCCTTCACTCTCTCTCTCTCTCACACACACACACAGAGGCTAGTGATGAGATTACCAGTGTGTGTGTGTTTGTGTGTGTGTACCCGTGTGTGTAAGAGGGGGCACGGTCTGAGCTGCATGAAACTCATCAGCTAACCAACTCAGAGCTTGTAATCTATCAGCTAACGTTCTGTTTTCAAGGATGCTGCTGCACGTCTCCGTGATCTAACAAATTGCAGGACAGAGTAAGGCTCTTAAACAGTGCAGCGACAGGACTCTCTACCCCCTCCTCCAACTCTCCACACATTATCTTCCAGGCTGCTGGATTCCAGCATCCTTCTCTTTGCTCTCCCTTCCCAGGCTGCATCTTTTCTCCAAAAACTAATTGGTGAATTTCTTAGTCTGGGAGTCCTCTGATATGAAGCCAAGAAAAAGGAAGAGAAGGACAAAACTCACAGGACAAAGGCCTTAACACCATCACTGAGCATCTCGGAAAGATTTGGCATTCATACCACAAAAGCAAAAAAACAGCCAGGGCTGAACTCTAAGCATGTTTGCCAATAAGGATTCATGGAGAGAATGCATCAGCGGGGCATTGCACTTGTCTGCAGTAAATAGGTTTGCCTTTTTTGCTCTTTAACGTTTGCCATCTGTCTTAACAGGATACCGTCTGCTCCACAGGAAACCTCCATGCTTCTTTTCTCCTTCATCTAAAATCCTGGGCTGCTAGATCGGAGAAGTAGCAGAAGAGAAAAGTCAAGCATCAGGGTATGTCACAATGCCAGCCAAATTAATTATAATTTCCTATCTGGTTTCTATATAGAGCAAAGAAATAAATTCCTGGAATGTGGTGAATGATGGCATCATTCACAGGAGAATACTGATAATCGCAGATGTTTCTATGAATGTCCAAAAACATAAGAGGCAAATAGCTGATTTTTAAGTCTCATAAATGTGATGTACAGTATTCATGTGTAGGGGCGGGCAGTGGATTGCTGTATCTTTAGATACATACCTATTCACAAAATGTATCTTGAATGTTCAGTATTCATACCTAACACTCATACATGCTATTTCTAAAATTCAGTGCAATATATATGTGTATATATACAAAGAATGATAGAGTCACAATTAGGCACTTTAAGGATGGAATCCTATAGGCACATTCCTGAGGATAAACTGCACTGAACTCAGTGCAAATAACATATTGGTGTACATATACATATAGGATTATACTGTGAAGCTGTTAGACCAAGAATAATAGCTAAAACACAAGCCAAATCAAATATTGAGGCTTACTTCTGAATCAGTGTGCATAAGATCATGATGTAAATACTATTGAGTTCAATGGAAGGAGTAAGTACTTGCTTAAATCTCAGTTATCAGAATATATAGATATGTATATCTTACTATATATAGTAGTTCATGCAGCCAGCACATTACTTCTACAGTTTGTCACTTTTTATCTTTTGACAAGTTTCAGTTTGCATTTATTGAAGGAGTTCAAGGCAGGAGACATGATTTTAATTTACTACCATATTTTATGCTCACAATAACCTTGTTGGGTAGGTTTAGGATCAGGTAGGCAACTGATCTAAGATCATCCAGTCAGGTTAATGGCTACTGGTAATTTGAAGCTAGGGCTTTGTGGGCAAAGTCTGCTATTCTATTTGCTATACTGTGCCAGCTCTCTATGGGATGAAATACCAAGGTAACTGTAAAAAAAATGATTCATACGTTTTTTTGTAATTTTTTCCATCTGAGACCTACTTTCATTTTGTTCCACCTTGGATGGTCAATTGTAAAAAAAATGATTGGTTTCTGCAACTTTAATAGTGGCGCAGAAGAGAGAATTTCAGGAGGCAGAGCACTATTACACAACTGTTCAAAAAGCAGTAGCTCTGTGTTCCTTTGCATCTTGATATCCTAGTTCCACTCCCCCCTCCTCCTCCTCCATCTTTACTGGTGATCACATATGTATCTCTTTTATTTATTCTGTACACCCAATAGTCTGTTCATAAATCCTGAAAAAGACATAATTGTAACTTCCTCCAGTCCTTTGCATGCCCATGTCTCTGTCTCTTGCAGTTCCTTGCATATATGTTTTCCAAAGCTTTTCCCTTCTCAGAATTTACACCACAGATGCTGCACAGACGCTGAGTGGTACCTAAGGGGCACGTGTTGTCCATGCACAGATTTTGTCTGGCTTACAAGCTGCTTCTAAGCATGTTCTATGGAAAATAATTGCACTTAAAAATGAGGCTTATTCCCAAGTAAGTAGGCATGGGGGGAAGCTGTAATAATAAACAGAGCAACTCTGCAGAGCGATAAGCCTGATTTTCTTAGGAAAAAATGTGCCATTAAATGGGATATGAAACTCATGGTGCATAAACGTGCCATACAGTAGGGGTGGGCAGAAGTTAGATTGGGTGATTAGCTATAGATTGGATAGGTTTTCCAAATCCAAAACAGTTTACAGTAGCAACAACAAGATGATACTTCTCTGCCCAAAATTATACTACTGTACTGAAATGCAAAAAAGTATAGAGTATATCTAGGAGCGGACTGGTACATGAAAGAACTGTTCTGTTCTGATATTGATTGGTTGATTTTATATATCTATCTTATTTATATGTCACCTTTCTCTCCATAGGTACCCAAGGAGGATCACAATAATTAATATTATACAGTAATCAACAGTTTTAAAGTACCAAATAAACTACATTAAAAAACCAATTAAACATTTATCAATATTAAAAGGAATGATTAAAAGCAAACTTTAAAAACATTTTAAAATTATTTAAACATCTCTAAATTTAATAAACAAAGCATTTCTGAGATACTCCCACCCCTTATTGTTTAAAAGCCTTCATGAAAAGGAAGGTCCTTGCCTGATCACAGAACGACCAGGGGGAGGGGGGGCCAACCTGGCTTCTTGGGGTAGTGCATTCCAAAGCCTGGGAGCAGCCACCGAAAAGGCCCTCTCTTGTGTCTTCACAAAATGAGCTTGGGAAATTGAGTGAACTGAGAGAGGTCCCTACCCAGAAGATCTTAAGAGCCAAGTAGGCTTATAATGGGTGATACTGTCCTTCAAATAGCCTGGACCTAAGACATATATACGCTTTATTGGTAATAACCAGCACTTTGAATTGGTCCCAGGTACAGAGTGGTAGACAGTGAAGCTGTGGTAATAAAGGAGATATATTCTCCCTGTAACCAACAGCCATCAGCAGTCTGGTGGCAGCATTTTGAACAAAACTCAGAACAAATGTCTGGTCTCAGAATTCTTTAATTCTAAACGCATATTTTTGTGTACAAGGCTGTGGCTGATGAATCTCAAGCATCTAATATGAAATAAAGGCGATTCCAGAAACCTGAACTCTCCCTATCCTGCTAAGCAGTAAGTGTGGTGATCCTTCAGATTTTTTGTGACTCTCCTCAGTCTGACAAGAGTCATGGATAATGGACACCGTAGTTCAGCAGTGTCTGCTGGGACTCAGTGCCTATTCCACTCCAGTTGTTCAGGATAAGGAGACATATTCAGCAACAAAATATCCAAGAGCATAAAAAGATCCTTGCTGAATCAGACCAAGGTTCTGTTAACACAGGGACTAACATGCTGTTTATGGGAAGTGTGCCAGTAGGACATGAGTCCAACTGCACAGTCTGTCTCAGGGGGTAACCACACTGGCAAAAAGAAAAAAGAAAAAAAAGAAAAAAGCGAGGACATGAGTCCAACTGCACAGTCTGTCGCAGGGGGTAACCACACCGGCAAAAAAAAAGCAGGGAATGCTACAGGATTGGGATGAGCAGATACACACTTCTTTTCCCTGTCAATTACATGCAGAATACCAATCCAGATTAGTCTGGATATTTCCACCATCACTACCCCCATCTGTGGCTTTTTGTCTCTACCACTAGAGCTTCTACTTTTACTTTTTTTTTTACCATTGTATCGTATTTGCGTTGATCCAGCCAGTGTGATTGCTTGAACCACCGGAGAAAACTGTGTTCCTTCACTCTCCATCATTCCTATCTGACCAAAATATGCTCTGCAATGTGTTAGATCATGGAAACAAGATGAGGAAACTGCCACTCTGTCCTTGTTTACAGCAATAAGTATGTAGTTGCATCTCCTGCAGGGCAAATGGAGAGTGATGTTAACAAGCTGCAAGCAAGGTTATTTAGCCAATTTCCTCCTCTTTGTGTGTGGCCAGTTAATTCAAACAGACCTGAGGAAACCTGAATTCCCTGGTGCAACTTCACTGAGAAATAATGCACATTTCTCTGACTGTATAGCTGCACTCTCACAATCCTCAGCAACTGATATGTACAAGTACTGTATACTGCCCTTGACAGCGGAAGTGATGTTTAGCCATCCTGACTGGCAGCCAGAGTCCTAGCCTGTGTGACTTTGCTTAGTCCCTTTTTAAAGCCACTCAAGTTGGCAGCACATTCCACAGTGTAATTGTGCAGTGCGTGAAGATGTACTTCCTTTTATCTGTTCTGAATCTCCCACCATTCACCTTCCAGATAAGCCTGCATTCTAGTACTTTGAGAAATGGAGAAAAATTACTTCCTCTCTGCTTAATTTGATGGATCTGTATTGCTTCTCTGATTATTTGCATTTTTTACAAGCAAAAAATCCCCAAACATTATAAACCTTTTTCA